TACTTTATATACACACTGAAATTTGAGAAACACTGGCATAGAAAGAAGAAGAAGAAAAGAATTCCCTGAAGTCTGAATAAGTGGCCGTATGCGATTAAAAAGCCATTGATACTTTACATTTGTATAGCACTTCACAAGTCAACAAACATCCTACCTTACCTCTTGGTGAGCTTCTTAAAACAACCCTGTAGGGTAACTAAAATAGATAGTTGCAGCATTTTGTAAATGAAACTGAAGCTTAAAATATTAAAGAGACTTGCTTAAAGTTAGAGCATGCAAGTATAGATCCAAATTCAGAGCTCAGATCTTCTGAGTCATACAAACTAACAGGCAGGACACTGAGAGAAAAACAGGGCCAATGGCTATAAGCTGTAAGTTATGCTCTGGAGGAGGGGTATCTCTGAGTCTCAGATGATGACAGGGAGAGAGACAAGGATATTTAGTCGACCTCCTATCAGGTAAGTCACAGTCATTTGTATTTGGCACTCTCAAAGACCACAGTAAAATGCACTAATCCTTTTTGGCCTGAGTTTGCTGTTATGTGGAATCAGCTTTGAGAAACACAAGCATTTAACCCTTACCAAGTGACTTAACGGATGAGTCAGTCACTTTTGGTTTTTTCCATAATTCTACAAATACATCATTCTAGGTTAAACCACATAAAATAAAAGTCTCCTGTGTACTGTCTGTGTATATAGACACACTTATGTGTTCCATACTTACAGAAACACATGGTCACAATTTGCATCTTATGAGAATTGTCCACTGTGTTTCTCAGTTCATAAAGGGAAACAAAGGATATAGTTTACAGGTACATAAACATTCTTTAACAAAATGTGTATAATATGCTATTTTTTAGATGATGTATAGCATGATATACACCATTATTTACCAAGTATATTTGATAAAGGATTTATTGGCAATGCATGATCCTTAAAGTATCAGGGCTAACCGACAAATTTTGATTACATCTAGTGATTTAACTACAGAAAAAGAAAACTTCATGATGGTCACAAACTTACCCAGTAGGCCCATGCCCACAGTTTGTTTCAAATAGTGAATTGTAAGTCATAGAAAATCACATACTGTGACAAGAATTGGAGTGTTGACACTTTTTTCGTGAATATTGGCATTCCAGGTGACTTACAGAAGACAAACAGAAATTTGAATAAGATCTTTATATTTTACTATCAAATAATCACATCTTTTGTTTCTTCTTTTCCCCTCTTGGTGTAGAAACAAACAGGGAATTAAGGATCCCAAATCTGAAAAAAACTAAACAGTAACTATTCTTCATTTAGATATTCAGTTTCCTTGGGAATCTCTAATACTTATTAGGTACACCGACATTTAAATGGAAACAATGTTACTATCATTGAAAGTATATAATATCCTGTAAACATCAAATAGGGTCAGAATTGTGAGGTAAATAAAATTTCATTACCTTGAATTTATAATATTTAAAATCATAAGTGTGAAGTCCCTGTATTTTAACACATGCCCACTTGTTTTATATCCAGATACGCATGTATATGTACATTTTACAAAGTTGCCTTATGAACAGATATGTGATAATATAATGTATTTTGAAACTAGCATAGTTTTTTGTGGTCAAATATTTTATAATTATCTGTTTACATATCTGCTGCTCATATTAAAAATATGGTCTGTAGAACTATTAAAAATTAAACTTTAAAGATTGGCTTGAAATGCTATTTCCACTATTCCTTGACTTATAAAAGAACTATTAATACATAGTCTCAACCTGCCATTATTAAGCAGAAGGTGAACCTCTATGGGTATGAGGGTAGAGAGTGGAAGAAACAGTGTTAGAAACTGGTCCCGAATTGAACTCTTACTCCTGTGGGAGCTGGTAATGAGGCAGGTAGGCTCTGTGTAGAAAAGCACCTCAGGGTGCTTCATGACTGAGTCCTGTGAATAAGTGTGTCTCACTCTTCACTGTGCACACAGATATAAATGCAGATTCTGGTTATTCTATTTAGGGAGGAACTCCAAGGCTGCTGCTGCTGCCGCCACTACTCTGTGAATCACACTTTGATTCTTTGTCCCTGGGATAGAAGTTGGTATTGTGGTTTTCTTTAGTTCTTTATACAATTTCTTATACAGGTCTGTAATCTTCTCTAGAAAACAATTGAGTTAGGTATGTATACATGAGGCTATCTATCTTTCCCTCCAGTTTTTCACCATAATTATATAGTTTTTATTTTTTTCAAAATGATAGAAACTGCAGAGCAAGACCTCAAGACTAATGTGTACTCTCTTATCTGATGCATAATTACACTAAAGATCATAATTACAAAAAATGAGCATTGATCCTCAAAAAAACCACTTGTTTTGTAGGAAACTTAAGGCAGTGAAGGTACATGTTTTGGGGACAGTCAGCCAAACTTCTGTCACTGGATAACCAGAATTACAAACCTCCCTTGTCTCCTGTTGCCATCTCAGATTATTCGGGGCCACAGACTCACTAAGAGAATTTTTTTTTCTCCTAGCCATTTCACTTTCTCAGTGCCAGACATCTACTGTGGCTTCCAATGAATCAAGTTCTCCTTCCTCTCCTCCTCTGGAAGCTCATGCACCCAGTAAAATGTCACAAATAAAGTGAAAACATGCCTTTTCCAGTCTGGCCTTATAAACGGAAAGCAAGAGCACCATTCTTCACCAGGAAACTGACCCACAAAGCTTACTGGATTTAAAGAGATTGAGAAGAAGGTCAGCTAAGAAAACAAAGGGAATTCTCTCCATTGTTAATTCTGATGAAGCTCCACCAAGCCCAAAATAAACCCTTGTCCAAGGCAAGGAAATAAAAAAGAGGGCATGTAAGGTGAGGTCTGAGAAAGAAACGGTGTTTCATAGGTAACTTATTTGCATGCTCTGTTTGTCTATCTTTTCTTTACCAGAGAATAAGTGGTTCTGTGTTTATCTTTTCTCTCATAGTCCCTATTTCCATACTGTAATGTCTGCTAAAGTGTAATGCTTAAAACTCTGTTCCTATTGAACCATAGACAAACAAAAGCACATATGTATCTCATCCATAGATATGTATGCAGTGAGACTGCCTCTGTATGAAAGTATAAGCATATTTTTATTCTTCTGAATTAACATTCCTATACTTGCCTAACTCTTAGATAACTATAGTTTCAGGTACAGGAGATGCTGACTTAGAAAGACCTTATAAAGCTCAAGGACACTTAGATAAAAAACAAACTTATACATTAAAGTTATTCACTTTTCTCATATTCAATCATATAACCAGTGAACAAAATTTCTAGGGATAGCATAAACTCATGTAGAGTGCTTTATCATTAAAGGGTTAATGATGTTAGGGAGTATGAATGTTAGCAGTTGAAATGGCATGCTTGTGTGTTTGCAAAAACATTTTCTGCACCATGTCCAAATCCCTTTGCAAACAGATAAATTACTCTATAAATCTTATTACTCCATGGGGATAAATCACACTTGCAGGTTTGTAAGGCTGAAGAGCTAGAAGGGAAAATCTGCTTTGGATAGTAAGATCTTTGGGATTCATAATCACCCAATGCTCAGGAAATGAAGAAAGAGTGCTTACACATTAGCATTTTCTTACTTTTTACAATCTCGAGAAACACATACCCACACAATACACACACATATGCAATGCACGGCACACAACACACACTTCCCTCTCTAACAAGGCTAGAGCTCCCAAAGCAGGACACTGTGACAGCCAACCAAATTTATTTCTGAGAAAAGGAAAGAAAACTTTGCTGCTGCTGGCAGCTCTGCTAGAGAACTGCTCCCTGATGCCCCTGGGTTTATGCACTATCAGCTCCTTGCACACAGATTAGAGGTTTACTTTCTAGCGTGTACTGTGGTTTTATTGCCACAACAAGCAATATTAGCTAGATAGACAGACTGACACTGGGTCATTTTATTTGGAAGAAATGAGATTTTAAAAGGTCTCCAAGGAGAGTGATTCTTTCTTTCTGTTAGAATCTGCCAGAAATTCAAGGAAAGCTAGGAAAAAGAACAAGGGGTAGGTACAGTTGGTCGAGAGGGAGAAGAGTGAAGAGAAATACAAAAATAACCTTGGAGTGTTTTGGAAATAAAAATATGACTAGGTCTCATTTGAGTATCTCTAGCTCACAGTACCTGATAGGGGTCAAACTCCCAAGGACTTGGGACTCTTCCTTTCCAAATTTCAATCTCAAATTATTTTAGAGTTTGACAGAGTTGCACAGAAAAAAAGACTTTGAAGTCCATAATCAGTTTGAAATACCCATTTGATACCAGGCTAATTCTTTCCCAACCTCTGTGTTTACTGCAATTCTTAAATATCAGCAATTTGGCAAGTTCCTTTGCTTTCTACTCTTTGTATCTTGTGTTGATTTATATTCACATACCAGAAAAGGCTCAGTAACCAACCAAAGTTCTAAGATTGATTTATTGCCCTCCATATCAATTAGAAGATCTTTACAGAAAGTCTTCTATCAGAAACCCTCACACACAGCCTTGATATGTGTGTGTGTGTGTTCGCCTGAAAGCACACACAAACACAGACACGGGAGAAACAGGAGAATGCAGCACCCTGTACTACTCTCTGAGAGCCATAATCCATCAACCTTTCTTTCAGAATTAAGGAATCCCAACAAAACTCTCCAGTGCAAAGCAACAGCAATTACAATAGCAAGAATACTGCCCAGAAGTCTCCAATGCCATGGGTGAAATCAAGCTTCCTTGATAAGACAAACAAGGTCCTAAGAACCGAACCACATTTAACCATCACCACTGCTCCCTGACAGGGACCAGGATCCCTTGAATTTTGTTAGCTCTCATGCCAACCAGTCAGTAAAACCGGGACACACACACACACACACACACACACCACAAGCCTGCATCATCAGGAGCTGGAGTTCAAGGAGATCAGGTACACACACACACACACACACACACACACACACACAGACGCGCGCAGCAGAAAAGTTGCCCAAAAGCCCTACCTGAGGATGGCTGTGTCCCCCTGCCTCACGGTGATGTTGTCCGTGCCTCGGTTAAAATCCACGCTGCGAACAGGCAGTCCTGTGGGAAGAAGGCAGAGCAATCTCAGTAGGACCAGAGGCAACTGTTTCCGATCTGGCTGAACTCTCCCGACCATGGTGGCCACTGCCGAGGTTCGGGTCCGTGGGGTGCTCTGGAGGGGCTCGCGCTGCTCGCGGGAGAGGCTTCACCAACACCGGGCTTTCATCCACAGCGAGCACAGAGCGGGCTTTGCCAGTTTGTGGTCCTTTCCACTTTGCCTCTCTCTTTCCCTCGCTCAGTCTCTTTTCCCTCTAAGACTTAACAAAGCCCTCACAACACCCAGGCAGAAGGGTGAAAAAGTAAAAGCAACACAATTTCAAAAGAGAGAGTACAAATGGCAAGCCCTCTGGAAGAGCTGAAGAGAAAGCCAGAGGAAGGGGTTCTTGTTTGGTCTCTCTGTGGCTGGACGCTCCTCTGCTAGTGTATGAGCTGAGCTCCTTCGCTCCGTAACCCACTTTCCCAGGCTGGCGGGCGGGCGAGGGAGCCGGCTCCAAGCCTGCCAGTGAGTGTACAGAAACAGCCACACAGCAGCAGCAGCAGCAGCAGCAGAAGCAGCAGCAACCCAGAGCCTCTCTCCCCCGCCTCCCTTTCCTGTTTCTCCTTCCAGTCCCTGGCGCTCTCTCTGCTCAGCGCCTCCCCCCTTCTCCCCACCCCCCACCCCACACCCTGCTGGTTTTCAACAGCCCCTCCACGTCATCCCCTCCACCCTCCCCTGGACGTGGCCCCTCGCTTTGCACAACTGCCCCCTTCAGCAGCAGCCAGCCTCAATGAAAGCCTGATGCGCCTTTGGGTTGTCAGGACGACAGCTCCATCTGAGGCCTGGCTGATTCCCTTAAGAAGGAGGAATGGAGCTCAGAGGTACTGTTCAGGAGAGAGGGGAGAAAGAGAGGGACTTAAGCTAAATAAGAACAGAAGAGTCCGAGAAAGAAGAGGGAAGGGGTAAGGAAAGAAGAAAAAGGAGGTGGGAAGGAGAGTTGCAAATGGGGTGAGTGGGATAGAGAACAGGAAAGCACTGAGGTGGGGGGTGAGTGTGGGGAATGTCCTAAAAGATGGGATAAGGAAACTGAGAAGAAAGTTGACAGCGGAGCCTAAGATTAAAAGCCAAAGTTGATTTCAAACTAAACATTCTTGGCAACTGGCTTTGCACGTCCAAATCTTGTTCATTCTTTCTCTTCTGTACTTTCTGTTACAGGATTAAAATGGTTTATTTTCTCTCCTTCCTTCGACCCCTCCCCCTCTTGGAACCCCCTTATGAAAGATGGATTGGAGACAATGCTGGTATTGAGTGGTCTGGGGTGTGAATGCTTGGCTTGTTTTTTCCAAGTGCCAGCCTCAGCAGCTGATCCCTGATCCCTAAATCAACTTCACTCTCCAGGAAACCCTCACTCAATCCTACACATGAGTAATGGTATTAGGGATTATTATTAAAAGGGCACATTGAATTGCTACCCAAGTTACTCCTGGCACTTACTTCTCACAATGTTCATACGCAAGAAAGGAGATTTGTAAATCAGCAAGCTTGTCAGTTGCAAAGAGACACTAAGTAAGACTGTATACAGCACTCCAGCTAGTGGCACATAGGTTGCCATCATTTGTCACTCCTCCTATTCCATGAGCCAAGCAAGTGATGAGGACCATAAAGTGATGAGGATTGTAAAGACCATTGAGAGTCACTCAAGTGAGAGCCCCAAACTCTTGGACAACTCCCTCAGTACTGACGATGAGGATAAAAAATGTATTTGCATCAGCCAAGGATATTTTTCCCTCTTTTTTGATTATGTTTATATAAATAAGAAAGTATCCACATGGTGCAGAAACCAGATGGTACAAGACACTATAGAGTGAATTGTGGTTTTCTTCTTATTCCTGTCATTGGGCAACCCATTTTGCTTCTCTGAAGGCAATACATATTTTCAGTTTGTTATTTATCTTTCCACAAATTTAAAAATAAATATGTACATATAGAGAGATATTATACCCATCCTTCTTATTTAAGCATAAGTTTAGCCTAGGACATTTGCCAAAAATAAAATAAAATAAAAAGAAAGAAATATGTTTAGGAATCCTTATCAAACTCCACCAGAGTACAAGCCTTAAGGAAACGCTGTGCTGAAACTGGCTTGTCCTGCAAATATTCAAAGCACTTTTTCTGCTGTGTTATCAGTTTAAAAGATAGATGAACTCTTACAGATTATGTGAGGAGAGAAAGGAAGACCTATTTTGTTTTCAAGAAAAGACTGAGGATTGGAATCTGAATTGTCACATATTCATGATTGATGGAGTTCAATTAATTTTGTGTGTACTGTGCATTCATTTTATATAAATCAAGGTGTCCTATGTCAGGGATTATAAGCAATGCCCAATTAATAAACCAATAATGTTCGAGGACTAAGTTATAACTCAGCTGTTTAAAACAAAACTCATAATCCTGTGAATCCCAGTATCAATAAAAAAATGAGCTTCAAGTGTCAAAAAAAAAAAAAAAGATGCAATGATTATATAACTTCTGCCAAGACTGAAGAGAAAAGAGTAGCTTCCCTATCTCCACACCACCAACACACATGACCATCCTTAGTCAGGCTAATTCTAACCACTTAGGTATGAAGAGTTAGCTTAGACAAAGGCTTCAGTTAACACATATCCTTTGGTTTGGTGCTTCTTCCATGTCAAGCGGAAGAAAAGAGAGACCGGTGGCTCTCTTCTGGTGCAAGGGACTGGTAGCTACAAGAATCATCTATTTCCATTTTTGGTGGCAGGTGAATAGTATGACCTCCGGTAAGAGCATAGATATTCTGAGGGGAAGGATTAGACATTTAAAGACTATGAGTATTCTCCTGTTTCAGTCAACTAGATTTTGTATGAAGAAAGAAAAGTTTTTTTCAGGACAAGGAAGAAGTATGGTGTGTGGTAGCATATTATAAACAGAAGATGTTTATGCATGATTGTTAGCTAATACCTATACTGGTAACCTCATACTACCAGACGACCTTGCCTGGTGGTACTTAGAGAAAACATATGTTTAACATACTGAAATACAAAGTAATTTACATCAAGTAGTAGGAATGTGGAATTTGTAGTAAATCAATGAAATCCGGAATTTGTCTCTATAGTCACTCTGAGAAAAGAATATATTAAAGTAAATCTGGATTGTAATCAGAATTATGGAATTGCCTGACTTACCTAATAAGAAAAACATTATAAGCATATATGGGTATAAAAATAATATAATGTAATTAAATGTTTTAAAAAATATATTTATTAAATAAAGTCCATTTATTGGCAACTTTTTAAAAAAACAAATTGACTTACTATGACAACTGAAAATAATATGCAATTTTTAAAAAAAGACTATTTTAGGCCAGGGTCAGTGGCTCACACCTGTAATCTCAGCACATTGGGAGGCTGAGGTGGGCAGATCACCTGAGTTTGGAAGTTCAATACCAGCCTGACCAACATGGAGAAACCCCATCTCTACTAAAAATACAAAATTAGGCATGGTGGCATATGCCTGTAATCCCAGCTACTAGGGAGGCTGAGGCAGGAGAATCGCTTGAACCTGGGAAGTGGAGGTTGTGGTGAGCCGAGATTATGCCATTACACTCCAGCCTGGAAAACAAGAGCAAAATTTTGTCTCAAAGAAAAGACTATATTTTTTAAATTATCTAATTGAGGCTGTTTATAAATTAGTTCTAATTCAATTAGACTGAATTTCTCAACAATTTCAAAGTTATGAAGTTTATTTTATTTCTTTAAAATTTATTATTTACATTCAGGCAGCACTTCAAGCACAGCTCTTTAATCCAGCACTAGGCCCAGATGGGGTACTCTATACTTGGTATATATGAGAATGGAAGAGTCATTAAATGCTCATGCTCACTCTCTTGGCTTACCTCACCATTTACAAAATAATAAAAGTATTTGAGGGTGCACTATCTACTTCCATTTCAACATTATGCTCTCTCAGAGTTCTTCCTCTTTCCACTTGGTAGAATCTGTCTGGTTTTTTGTCCTACATGATCTCTCGTTTTCTAAAAAATCCAGTAGTCAATAGACATTGGATAATGTACCTCATCCTAATCGTCACTCCCCTAAATCTACCCTGATATTAACTTCTCTGCTTTCTTTCCTCGGAAATGTAGAGAAGGAAACAAATAAATGTGTGGCTGAAATTTACGCAAGCTATTTTTCTGTAAACCACTATATACATTCTTCCAAGAAGGCTGGCAAAAATGAACATACTTTCAGGTTATTTGTGAGGCAAGTATGGCTGTTAGCCATGTGAAACAGCCATCATCACCCAAGTAAGATGATCTTAACTACTACTTTCGAATAACATACTGCCTTTCTAAAACAGGCTTTAGAAGATTCTGGCACTCTCAAGGGACAAATACTGCAGTAAAAACAAAAACTGGCTAACGTCTGAGTATCCTAAGAAGGATGAAAGGTTTATTCTTCTGTTTAGCTTTGTAAGGTAATAGGCTCACATGAAATCCAGATGCAGCCTGGAATGTGCAACTAATTTAACAACACTGCTTGCATTTTATGCTAAACATGTCTATAATATTAATATACTACTCTACATTTCTACAGTTGTAAGGCCTTAATCATAAAAACACCATGCCTGTACCTTACTTTTCTAAGTGGAATTAGCATTGCCATATGAACTAGAAATACAGAATTGTTCATACTTCTCCTGAGGATCCCTGGTATGACATTTTCAATGATTTTATCATCATTTAGCAATATTCAAGTATCCCAGTTTATGCTTATAAACACAGCACTATCTTATGTGAGTTTTCTCTGGAATCTGGCCCTTCCAATTCAGACACTTCATTGGCATATGTGTCAATGCCTAAGAAAATCAGTCAACTGCAAGTCAGTTAAATATTGTCCAAATCTTTACTTTAGACCTTCTCTTCCAATGATGGAAAACACTTGATCCACATCCTGCACAATTAAAAATCACTCTTTGGTTTGCATTTAGTGCATGCCTTTGCGGTTTGTCACTATCCTATCAGTTTTCTGCTTCTAAGTAAGTAGACTTTTAGTCACTTGTTCTATTTTGTTAGGCATCAACGCTTGGATCTGTCCCAGTTTTTGAAAGGTCTTTGGGATTCTTGAACTGCTACTTGCATCCTTACTTCTTGCTTCTGCTCCTGATTACCCATAAACATATAAGTACTTACATTTATTGATGCATTTGCACACCAGAAAAGTAATTTTCATATGCCTTATTATTTCCCAGAAATAACATACACCAGCCCTTGGACCTTCCTCTTTTCTAGGTTGTCCACTCTTCCACCATGTATAAGGAGGTGGAAATGACCAAATAATGCTGCATCTGCATTGCTACTACTCTTATTGATATACCCCCCCAAGATATGGGAAGAACATTGCAACATCTGGAAAGATGGCAGTAGTGGCATCTTCAGAATGATTACCTGCATCTAATAGAAGCAGGTCATCAGGAAATTCTACCCTCTATTTATGGTTGTTGTCCTGATGTGAATTCCTACAATCAGAAGGTAGGCCAAGGACAAGTGAGGAAGAGTGGAGGTGGGTGCACAATATTTTGTCCCATATTCCAGAATATGTATCTTCCATATTCTGACATGCCCAGTATATCAGAATATGGAACATACAT